GCAGAGACCTGATTAGTTTTAATTGGATATTAATTACCTAATTTGCATAATGTTCCACTGATATATAAAGAACCACAAATTGGATTTTAATGAAACTTTTAAAGAGAACTATGCAGAAACCCAATTAGTTTTTGGTAAATATTTATGCTTATTAAACACCTAATTAACATAATTAATTAACACTGATATCTCAATTACTGATCATCACATTTGAATAAAATTTGGTACATAAATGCTCTAGGACAATAGACAGGCCTGATTAATTTTGGGTTAAAATTTGTTCATATTAATTCTCTAGTTAGCATAATAATTCATAATTTTTTTGTTCTGCTCTGTTCATATTAGTTACCTGATTTACATAATTAGTTTTCAGCTTTTCCATCAATATCTCATGTACAAGTAATTTTTAATTAATTTTTAATGTGTCTTCAATACTCTCAGCACACGGGAGTTCTTTCTAAGCTTTCTTTGATTATTCCTTGGTATTGATTAGGAGCATATTCTGACAGGCTGCCCCTAGTCATAGGTCAGTGTGTACACAAATATTTAAACTTGGTTTGAGTTGGTTCGCAAAACTTTCTCTGAATTGCTATATTTACAAATTGATGTGTCATACATCATAGATTAATATGCAAAGAGTGAAGTTCTGCCTTCAGAAAATACACCCACATCAATCAATGGCAAATGTTAAAAACATTCAAACCAAATCCATATAGCCAAAGCCCTAGCAGGACCTCAATTCGAGTATCCTGTAAAACCTCAGTATACAACAGCTCACAGGTTTGTAGATCTATAAAGGTCCTTCATTAGAGATTTGATGCATTATGAAGGAAGAAGGAATTATGCTTTCACACATGTACATCATTTCTAAATAAAGTTACTTCAAGGTTAGATGGTGTGACTTTAGGAGAAGTGTATTACTGGGTCTACAATGCTTTTGAAGTAACTTGACTTTCTTTTTTCATTCATAGCCTTCCTTACAATCACCCAATGGTTGGTTGGCACAAGGATCAGGACAAAGACAGATTGTATTAATTCCATCTGAAGGTTGCCAGTCAAACTGTTCAGATGTCAGTATTGTCTTAGAACCTATGGATATATGTGAGTATATAAATCTTAATGTACAACAGTGATGTAAACGACAACACATTCAGTGAAAATACTGTTTAGCGTGGTGATGAACCATAACGGAACACCATTATACAAAACTTCCTAGTGCTAATGAATAATTAATAACTGGTCTGCTCTGAAGCAAGAAGCAGCTTATTCATTAATTGTTACATTATATCTGTTATTTCAGTGTTCTACCACACTCATTACTGGAAACCACAGTCCTTTCCTTATGGTGATCAAGTCAGTGTCATGTTTGCAGCTTCTTTCCTGTGATGACAGCCAGTGCTGAAACATTAATGGTCAATTGATGGTTAAATTGAAATAGTATTTTTTGTGCTCTGTGTAATGTTATTTATTTCTCATCTCAAGTTGAACACAAATAGATGTGGCTGACTCATTGTTGAGACCAGCAATGAATGTATTGAGAAAAATAAAAATGATTAGTGAAATATATCCTATCATTATTATACTTTATGTGAAAAAGTCATTTAAGGCTTTCAATTCTGTGTACCGGTATGTGAAATAAATATTGCATCTAAATATTATTCATTTGAAGTGTATTCTGTTTTTAAAAATTGTTGTATTTCAACATCGACTTAAGGGTTAATAGTTCTTGTTGAGATGAAGTATAATGCATTCATAACAAAATCTGACAGTAAAAGTGTGTGCATTAGTAATCTACAAATACATGAATCAAAAATAGTTAATATGTAATTGAAACTAGCAAATACCAAATCTACTTATCTGATTCATGTAAATTAATGGGTGTTGCATTATAACTGAAAAGCTTTGACCGATTTTCATTAAAATTTTGGTAAAAATAAATAGGTCGAAAATGATGTTTTATTCTGTTTTTGGCGATGTAATAAACAATAAATTACATATATTAAGATCACAATTTTACAATTAAAATGTATTAAGTGTCATTTTGAGTGAAAATATGTTTATTCATTTTTGAATGTTTATGCGAGGGCTTTGTCATAAATTGATGCATGTGTAGCTAATTTTAAATTCTTATAGTACAGGTACTTAAATCGCTTGATAACTTACAGTTGGTGCATGCAAAAGAAAAACACTATCTTCTCATAGTTTGTCTTACATTACAATATTTCTTTGACTGGTCTTAACAATGTTCAATATGCATGTCCGTTTTTTTTTAACGTTAGCTGATTGCCTCCATATGAGGGTACCTCGGATAAAGCTCTATCAGATATGTTCTATTTTAAGTTCAGCTGACAGAAAGGAGTTGTTATTGGAAATTGTCAACAATTACATTTTTAACTTTTTCTCGAAAACTACCAGCCTGATTGCTTTGATACTTTGTATGTAGTTATCTTGGGTAGAGCTCAGATTTGTTCATTTTGCCATTGTCAACTACACTGTCATAAAAATGACGGGGGTTGTTCATGTAGGTACCGGTAATTGTATGATTTGGTCAATGGGAAGTGTTCACAATTGCCACCAACATTTATGGTTTAAATTACACAAGACAATACAAGTTTCTGTATAATGACCACCAGTCCATCTACTGTGCAAGTTTTAATGGAATTGGTCAAGATGTATCAGATGTACTGGTAGACATGGACACAAGTTTCCATACCATTCTGCAGCAGACTTGACAAAAAATATCTTTGTGGAACTGAAAAAGCACATAATCAGATCAAATGTGAACAGTTGTTTTTATTTTGTTCCTTTATAATACATTAAATATGTGTGAAACAGGAACATGGGGTCTTCTGTTGTCATGACTACACAGTAAAAAAAAATGACAATCGTTAATTTTATTCATAATTTCACTCGAAGCAGCATCTATTGGATTTTTTTTTTTATTGAAAATGTCCTCTGTGAAGCAACATGCAATACTTTGTATCTTGGCTAGAAGAACTTTAAGATCAAACTTGTCAATCATAATGTAATCTTTAAGGTAGTGACAGTGGAAAAACAAATATTGGTATGGTATATTCACTACTGTACAGTACTGCCTGTATCTATTCTTTCAGATGATGTACAGGTTGTTATAGCTTCATTCTAAATCACAGATCGATTTTTGACTTGTTTTTCCTCTGTTGGTACCTTTAAAATTGTTTTTAAAAGCAGTTTTAAAGTGTCAGCAGAGAAGTTTCGTTGAAATTACTAAAAGCTCTCTGATTTCAGTCACTGCATAACTGGTCTCAGTTTTCTTATACAATTCCGGATTTTCGCCAGGTGACATGCATAATTGTCAAAACTAGTTACTATGTGATACTGAAAAATCTACACTGGTACCAGACATGTTCACACCTGCAGAGGGTGCAATATTTAAAAGAGCCAAGCTGAACAGTATTTGACTACAGTCCTTCAACAAGGTTGTTGTATGGAAAGATATGTTTTGTATTTTCACCATAGCCATTATAGCAAAAAAAGTAATAACAAATCACTTATTCTTTTATCATAAGTACTTCCTATCATGTAAAGGCACGTTACATAGATATACATGAAACTGGACTATAATAACACACATACCGGTAAATAGAGTAAAAGAATCAATTGTCCAAACCAGGCTGTATTTCAAAATGGTGAATTTCAAAAACCGATCAACTATTATTATTATTTTTTTTCCTGATTTGCACAAAAGACTATCCAGATCTGAAAAATATATTGACTTACACAAACCTCTAAATAATATGGAATGTTGTCGTAGAAAACTCAAATAAAATGATCACAAATAAGGTACAAAATACATGAAATACACTTTTTCCTATATCCTAAATCTACCATTTATTATCTCTGTTCTATTGCTGAATGCCCTGGCAAGATGATGACAAAGTACTACTACATATACTACTGCTTGACAACATAGTGCTGCAGTTTGACAT